TTAGCTTGTGCCAGAGTGAATCCTGATATAGCCAGAGAGGACACAGGAATAGTGTTGGTGGTCCTGGAACTCTCCCTGCCAAGCCTATACCTTGTGACTCCTTGTAATGAATATTGGTAAAGTTTACTACAGAGTAAAAGTCTCTGATTTTTGTATATCTTATTTAACAACATAACTCTTTATGTACACATATTTATGATCACTGCCTCAGAGGATTGCTTGGGGATAAAATGAGTTAACACTTGGGAAAATTGTCAAAATAATGGCAAGCTCATAGTGAGCACTCATTATTACTATTATTAACATATTATTACTATCCCAAGGAACAACACGTGTTATCACTTATAGAGTGAATATCATGCGACAGGCATGTATGCTAAGTGCCTTCCAAGGATTATCTCATTTAATCATCCAAAAGCCTATGTTCCTTCTATGTTTATTATCATTTTATATAAATGTCCACTGGAAGGGCCTTTAAGTACTACGTTCATATGATGAAAGTATAATTATTAACTAGCACCAATATGACCTTAAGACATTAATGCAATGACTTCCACCCAGGGAATTACTAATATCAGAAGACATGAAAAATAGAGAAAACGACCTCATCTCTCCTTCACTCCATTTCTCTAAATGTAATGAATTTTTAATGCTGCACTGGCCAGAACACCCCATGCTGCCCCAAAATGGAGCATAAAATATTCAATTCTGAAACAATTTAAAACTAGAATTTCAGGAAAATTATCATGACTCTCTTTTTTCTCTCCATACTCCCAAATGGTACGAGATATTTCAGCTGTTGTTGCTTTTTTTATAAACAACAATAAGGACAAGCAAAAAAAAGAGAGGACACAAGTCAATTCTATCACTTTTCTAATAGCAATAAATAGATGAACATGTATGACAAAATACTACTTTAAAAAGCAAAAGAATGATTTGGTTTGAAATTATATTGAGAAATGACAAAGGCATGTCACACCCTGTATTACACAAGTGATCATTATAAGCTATAAGAACTCAGTTTATTCTACCCCATTTTATTCAGTAAGGACATTCACTTTTTCTTTTTTTGAGACAGAGTCTCACTATGTTACTCTCAATAGAGTGCCATGGTGTCACAGCTCACAGCAACCTCAGACTCTTGGATTTAAGCAATTCTCTTGCTTCAGCCTCCCAAATAGC